CGGCCGCCGTGCAGACAGGTCCCAGGCAGGCCGGCCGGCCACTCCTCGCCCTGCGGGGCCACCTGGCACGGTGCCTGTCTGCCAGCAGCACAGGCCAACTGCCCCCGGCTCAGCCATTCTCAGCGCCTGGGTTCTGATGGCTCTTCCGGGACTGACTGTAGCCTGCTGGCCTGGCCGGTGCTCAGAGCCAGCGGCAGGAGTCCGCGGCCACCAAGGGGACCGGCCATCTTAGTCCAAAATTCCACACGTGGCCGTTTGGCTTGGCCCCTAAGGGCAGAAACGTGTGGCTTTAACTTTCTACAAAAACAAGGCCGCACCAAACCACTGGGCGAGCTGGTGCCCACAGCCCACGGGGAGGTGCCAGCTGTCTGCCCCTGGGGGCTGGGTGCGTGTGGCTGTGCCCGCCCCGTCCTGCTCCACCTCACAGGAAGCCCAACACGCCCACCAGAGGGAAGGGCATCTCGTGTGGCTTTAACTTTCTACAAAAACAAGGCCGCACCAAACCACTGGGCGAGCTGGTGCCCACAGCCCACGGGGAGGTGCCAGCTGTCTGCCCGTGGGTGCTGGGTGCGTGTGGCTGTGCCCGCCCCGTCCTGCTCCACCTCACAGGAAGCCCAACACGCCCACCAGAGGGAAGGGCATCTTCACAGGAAGCAGCGTTCTTGTATTTTATTCAAATTTAAAAATCACATTTGGATTCTTTTACCAACATGGTAAGCAGCACAGTCCCACGCAGAGCACACGCGGCTGCGCAGGGTGGACCGTCCGGAATGAGTGTCGCTGCTGGGCAGCCCTGAGGCCCAGGACCTTTTGGACCTCACCGACCACCAGTTAAGCCCCCTGCCTTTTGGCCTGTGCAGGAAGGTTGGTTTCCGCCCTTTTTATAACTTCCAACCTCAGGGGGATGAGGGACTGCAAGGGGCGGGGCCTCTGTGCACTGCCTGTCAGACTGCTGATGTCAGGCTGCCTTTTAAACTACCTTTTAAAACACGGTATTTAAATTCAAAAACAAACAGGAATACAGAAACATTAATCCATTACATTTTATTATTAAATACATCTTAGGTTTTATCCCGTACTTTTACCAAAAGGCACTACAATTTTGGCAAATATCTACATAACAGAACTTTCTGAAATGAGCCAGAGAAGCCCATGGAGTGGAGCTCACTGGCTCCGCACAGAAGCCTGACTCTCCGGCCGCATGCGGAGGGACCTTCCGAGGCCTCAGGCTCTCTAGTGGTGCAGGGGGGACCGCGTACACGCTGACCCCGTGCGCAGTCAGTGTGTGGAGGCGGCATGTTCGGTGGGGACCAGGTGACCCTTTCTGAGGATGGGCCTTTCACGTGTGCTCTGCTGCGAGCAGCCGCAGGAAAGCAGCTCCAGACGCGGACGCCGATGTCGCTGATGGCCCAGCAGCCCTGTCACCTCCCTCTGATGTCCAGGTCAGCGCCATCCTGGTCCCACCAGGGCTACTAGGAGCTTATGAGAAAGAATCTCACTGTGATCTTTCCTGCAAAGAAACAGCAATAAAATCACTCCCGCTCAGAGGAATCCGTCAACCAGGACCACCGTGTGCCCCCCGCTCGGGTGATGGCCGAGTGCAGGGCAGGAGGGACCCGCCATGTCTCACAGCCCCGAGAACGGGTTTGCAGCTCACATGCGGCTGTGAAAGCCGCGCTGATACCAGAGCCCGTGTCAGAGCCACACACACGCCAACTGCTTCCAGCCTCCACACCCCACGGCCGGAGTGGTGCTGCCGGCGTCACCCAGCACTCGCCCGGGGCTGTACGATTCTGCCCACAGCTGCACCACAGCACATACAGACGGTGCCCGCTGCACAGTCTGGCGGCCAGCGCGGCGGCCTCTTCGCCGAGTGGAGTTGCAGCCTCTGGGCACTAGGAACAGGAAGGCTTT